GCATCCTGAATGAAGCCAGGAAGAATGTCCTGGGAGAAAATGGGAGGCCCACTACCCTTCAGCCTGCCATCGATGAAGCGTTCCCCCTCACCCGCCCAAATTGGGATTTTGGGATGGCAGAAGGTAGGGAGCGGCTCCGAGTCTACCGTCAGACGCTTATGATCGGCCTCCAGAGGGCTGCAAGATGACCCACAACCTGGCTAAGGTGAAAACAATTGTTCAGGGAGAAACCGAAAGCCCAGTCGTGTATCTGGAAAGGCTATTTGATGCCTACAGGCAATATACCCCTATAAACCCAGAGGCAGATGAACACAGGTCAGCTGTAGTCCTCTCTTTTATTAACCAGGTAGCCTCCAATATCAGGAGAAAACTCCATAAGCAGGACAATCTGGGAGAGATTTCTATTAGAAAGATGCTGCAACAGACAGAGAAGGTCTTTAATGCTAGGGAGTCTCCGGAGGACAGGGAGGAGAGGCTAAGGAAGGAGGAATGGGAGATGCAGGATAAAAATAGGAAAGGGGACAGAGAATTTCAAAGAAAAGAGAAAAAGAAGCAGAGGGAGGAGATGGCCAGAATATTCTTGGCTGGAGTGAAAGGGAGCCCTGAGCCGCCTCGGATAGCAGGACCCCGCCCATCTAAACTAGGGCGGGAACAGTGCACCCTGTGCAAAAGATATGGGCACTGGAAGAGAGAGTGCCCACAAAGAAGAGGAAGCCCAGGATCCCCACCCTTTTATGAGGCTATCAGGATAAATAGTTCCTATACTCTCAACAACTCTCATCCCACCTATTGGGATGGGAGACCATGGGGACTTACTCTTGCTCAGGTCTTGGCCTCTGGCATGTGTGTAGGCACAGTTCCAACATCCCAAAGCCAGTTATGCTCCTCATGCAATAACACCCCATGGGAGCAGGATTATACCCACCTCGGGCTGGTGGCTCTTTTCAAAAATGGGCCTCACCCCAGCCCTGTCCACCTCTGTATTTAATGCTAATAATGAATTTTGTGTGCTTGTGGCCATTCTGCCCTGTCTTTCATACCACTCTCATGAATCCCTCCTCTCCTATTGGGAGGAAAAACAGAGTCCACTCCAAAAGAAAAGGGAGCCCATTACTGCCTTAATCATCAGAACTTTCTTCTCCGTGGGGATAGCTGGAGCAGGGATAGGAATCGCAGCCCTAGTAATGCGAGAGCAAGGGCTCATGGCCCTAAGGCTAGCAATCGACAGGGACTTGGAACAGCTCCGGGAGACGATGTCGGACCTGGAGCAATCTCTCACTTCCTTATCAGAGGTGGTTCTACAAAACAGAAGGGGCTTGGATCTCCTATTTTTAAAGGATGGCGGGCTATGTGCAGCTTTAAAAGAAAAATGCTGTTTCTATGTAGACAAGGTGGGGCAGTCAGGGAATCTTTGACCAAGTTAAAAAGAGACCTGGAGAGGAGGCGCAAGGAGTATGAAAGTAATGAAAGCTGGTTTGAGTCTTGGTTTATGCATAGACCATGGTTTATAACTCTCCTCTCAGCTGTCGCAGGACCTCTAATTATGCTATTGCTATTAGTCATAATTGGTGCCTGCATAATAAATAGGCCACTAAAGTTTGTTCAGGAAAATATCGATACTGTCCATCTTTTGGTCCTTCGCCAGAAATACCAAGCCTTAGATATTGCTGAGGAAGATTCCTCAGTCTGATCTAGAAAAAGGGGGGAAACGTTAAGGAAAGAGGAATTTACTGTTTGGTTGAATTTACTCCTTGTAGCTGATTAACTCAACTGGAGACACAGGCATCCGGAGATAGGGGCAAGTGCTGCAGCCCCCGGAGCCTGACCTGTCTGATCTGTGTCGTGTCACATAGGCATGTCTGCTTACACAAGATAACAGGGAAGGGTTGCACCATGCACATACCACCCACCCTTCCCAGATTGAGACGCCTGAAGGGAGTTGTAACATTTTTCTTGTTTTGAAGTTATTGGTTTGTGAAATGCTTGCTTTGAAACTACTGGTTGTATAAGCATTTTTTTTGTTATTGGTTTGTGAAATGCTTGCTTTGAAACTTTGGTTGTATAAACGCGGGCTTTTGTGTAAGGGTTGTGGGAGCCTATATAATCTTTACCTAAAATTGCCTCAGGGTCGATTGCTCTAACCAGACCTGCATGTCTTGGAAGGACGGTCGGCCCCAGCTAGCTGGTTTAATAAAACTCTGCTTGATTTTTGCATCTCCATACTCGTGCATTTGTTCTCCTGAAGAGACCCACTGAGTCACGGACCCTAACACATGTTTTTAGAAATAAAATTTCTACTTTCCCCCCTTTTTCTTCCAGTTCATTTGACAGTATATAGCAATAGTCTAAGAAGCATGTATGTTTTCAAACCTTTTCATTTTCAAATAGCATCAGGATTCCAAGAAAATCCTTTTCTGAAAGGAAGGAAGAAGATAGCCTCCCCAGATTCATACCTTGGCAGTCTTAACAGCAGCCCCATATCCAATGGAAAATCCAGAGCCGATTAAACAGACTTTCTCAGGAGGAGCCAAGGCATCAATCTTCGCTACAGAAGACTCATCCAGCATTGTGTACTTGGTGAAGGTGCTGGTATTGATGAAGTACTTCACTGGTTTGCCCTTGCATGTGAATCTGGTAGTGCCATCAGCCAATACTCCATGGCCAGTCAGACTGTTTGATACATCAAATACACAGATTAATTCAATCCCCATACTATCTCAGGAAACTCAAATAACATCAGAGTAAAAAATGACTGACATCTACTCGCTCCTAATGCAAAGATTGCCATCTGGGTTACTGCAGGCATTGCACTCTCCACACTGTGGCAGAGAGGGATGACTTTATCATCTAGAGGGAAAACATTTATAGTGATGTAAGCTGTTATTCATTCACATTAAAATAGGAATTGAGCAGGACATTGGGACTCATGCCTGTAATTCTGGCATAGTAGAGGCTGAGGTCTGAACTGCATAGTGAATTTTAAGGCAGCCTTGGAAACAGTGAGACCATGTTTCAAAAACATAAATATGGGGCTGGAGAGATGGCTTTGTGGTTAAGGGCACCGACTGCTCTTGCAGAGATCCCCGTTTTGATTCCTAGCACCCACATGACAGCTAACAACCATTTGTAACTCCAATTCCAGGGGAATCCAATGGCCTCTTCTAACCTCTGCAGGCATTGCACAGCACAGGTGCACTTACACATATGTAGGCAATACACTCACATACATAAATTAAAATAATAAAATATTTTTAAAACAAAGCATAAATATAGATAGATGAAATGGGTATGAATTATGCTCTTTCTATACACAAAAACTCCTTTAAAGTGTTCTGAGGTTTACAAGTTCTACAAAGTAATTGCTAAAGAATGATATTTGCCAAATTATTACTCAGTACCATCCACTTTCCTTGTAGCTCCTTAAATCGGGTTGTCTCTCTGGTAATCCCTAGTGTGTGCTGTGCTATTCCTTCCATAGAATAAACAAAGCCTATTTATTCTAAGGCAATGCCAGTACCTGGTCTCACTGTAATGACTCCTTCTCCAGTGCTCTCTACAACCTCAACTGCTTCGTGTCCCTCAATCACTGGAAACTTAGACAGCATTGTTCCTTTTATCAAGTGGTTATCTGTGCGACAGATTCCTGTGGCCAAAATCTGTGTTCAAAAGAAGAAGGAGAAGGAGGAGGAGGAGGAGGAGGAGAAGGAGGAGAGCATCACAGCTAAGGTGATCATCTTCCAGTGAGATAATAAAGAACTTGCTCTGGTTTGTTCTCTACCATTTTTGAACATCATAGTATGGACTCTAAGAACGGCCTGAACCTAAAAATAAACCACCATGTTGAATTCCTTGGCTTTAAGGACTTTCAATATTGCAGCCTCTTGTCCTCCTTGGAATCTTGGTGACTTTTTGAGGGAGGCTGGCCCTCGAGAGGAACCCGGATGTAGATGATAGTAGTGTGTGACTGGCCCACAAGTAGGTTTATGCAGCTAGGTCTTCCCAGCATTCTCCTAATGAAGGGTGGAGGGGTTAGTGTGCAAAGGGATAAATGATGAATGAAGTTTTACCATTTCAAGTGCTGAGAGAGGCAAAGGAAGATGAGCAGCGAGGCCTGCTCCGAGGGTGTCCTCCCCAAGTGGAGGCTCCACTCAAAGGAAGGGAGTGGGTGTGCTGCAGGAAGCTGTGGCTTCTCAGTCACACAGAAGCACTCATTCTCTATGAAAAGTGACCTCAAGACAGTTTGGTGGCACAGTCTGTGAACCCATCTACTTAGGAAGCTGAGGGAGGGGGATTACAAAATTCAAGGTTTGATTGGCCTACAAAGTGAGTTCAAGGTCAGCCTGGGTAGCTTAGCAAGATCCTGTCTCTAAGTAAAAAGTGAAAACAAGGATAGGGATTGCATTAGTCAGGGTTCTCCAAAGAAACAGAACCGGTAGAATGAATATATATGTATAGAGATTTATCAGCTTAGCTCACAGGATAGAGTCCGAGTAGTCCAACAATGGCTGCACCACACTGGAGAGGCTGAGAACCTGTAGTCACTCAGTCCACAAGGCTGGATGCCTCAGTAATCCCAATCTGGTGCTGAAAGTCTGACGAATTCCAAAAAGATCAGCTAGTCTTCAATCTACAGCAGCAAGATGAACTCACCAGCGAGAGAGAAGGCAAGCAGCAAGAAGCCTGGCATTCTCCTCTGCCTTGGCCTTTTATACGGGCTGCCATCAGAAGGTAACATCCACATTTAGGGTGTGTCTTCCAGCTGCAGATGATCCAATCAAGAAGATCTCTTTCATTTCAGTTAATCCCAGATCCAATCAAGTTGGCACCCAGGATTAGCCATCACAGGGATATAGCTCAGTGGTAGAGTGCTTGAGGTATTACCCCATGTCATAAACAAACAAATGATTAAATACATAAATAAATAATCAAGCAAGATTTTAAGATAATTCATTGTTCATGACTACTAACAATTTTCTATCAAACACTGCACCAGTAAAACTTCAACAAATGTTATCTTTCATAGGCCAGATTAGCAGCTGTTCTTAGCAGACAACAAAATTTTTAATTTCACAACCAGTATTATGACCATGTCCCTAACAGTATGGGTGAGTTTGTGGGAGAATTACTTTGCAAACATTTCTTTATTTGAGAACTTCATAGCAACGACTTTCTCAATACAAACATGATGTCATTACAGGCTCTGTATTCCAAGTGCCTTTCTTACCTTAACTCGAAATTCCTTAGCCTTTGGCAGGGCAACTTCTATTTCCTCAATGGAAAAGGGCTGATTCATTTCCCATAGGACAGATGCCTTGCACTTAATAACCTAAGAAATCAGCAAGGGTTATCTTTTGGTATCATTTCAGTACATAGATTTAAACAACTGTCATCTATGTATTGCTTATTCACAAGGGAAAAATCTATAAAACAGTAAATACTGCTCATTTGTCTGTAAGAATTTAAACCAGTATTTAATTACTGTCTATAATCATGTAGCAAAGGTGAGAATATTAGACCACTGGCACAGTAAGACATTGTCTTAGTATGCTTTGACATTGCTGTGATGAAAACACTGACCAAAACCAGCCTGGAGCTATTTGGCTTACAATACAGTCCATCATCAAGGGAAGCCAACACAGGAACTCAGGGCAGGAACCTGGAGCACAGACCGTGGAGGACTGCTGCTTACTGGCTTGCTCCCCTGACCCATGCTCAACCTGCTTTCTTATATAATACAGGACAACCTGTCCAGGGGGTGTTAGGGTCCTTGACTCGGTGGGTCTATTCTGGAGAACAAATGCACGAGTATGGAGATGCAAAAATCAAGCAGAGTTTTATTAAACCAGCTAGCTGGGGCCGACCGTCCTTCCAAGACACGCAGGTCTGGTTAGAGCAATCAACCCTGAGGCAATTTTAGGTAAAGATTATATAGGCTCCCACAACCGTTACACAAAAGCCCGCACTTATACAGCCAATAGTTTCAAAGCAAGCATTTCACAAACCAATAACAAAAAATGTTACAACTCCCTTCAGGTGTCTCAATTGGGGAGGGATGGGTGGTATTGTGCCTGGCACGACTCTTTCCTGTTATCTTGTGTAAGCAGACATGCCTACAGACATGACACAGACCAGACAGGTC